TTAGTATCTTTATTAAGATATGCATCCACTTTATGCATGCTTTAGTTTTGGTTTTTTGGTTAATTCTAACAGTAATTTGTTGTGAAGTATCATCTCCTCGTCTTTTAGGTTGAAACAGCATTAGCAAATGCACGTTGTCGTTGGTTAGAAGAATTGACTAACCTGCCTGAATACAGAGCCAATATACAAATTGAAGCGAAGAAATGGGAGGCAAAACATGAACAAGATGTGGCAGAACAAGTAAATGTTGTAGCGTTAGCCATTTTGTATAAAATATGACACTGTTAGTATCTAGTTATTATCTGTAATAAAGCCATTACTCTAAAGCTGATTCACGGAAAATTAAACAACCACTAATTGGTACTGCATGATTGACTGGTATAACTAGCAATAGTTCCGTGAGTGTCAGGTTGGCATAATTGGTGCACACTGCTCTGCCAAACCTACAATGAAGCATTCATTCTTTTATAATGTGTATTTGCATTCTACTGTTAGTGTTCATAGCATACTAGCATTTGTACTTTTGACATGAGTTAACTTTAATTAGTACACTAATTTGTCTATGAAAGAACACCTTGCAACTTCCCATTAGAAAATGTGTTTTACAATGTGTGCTTAATCATGGGAATATGTTTTTAAATGTGAAGACAGGTGATTTGGATGGGGGAGACAACTTTCAATTTGAAAAATGCTGTTGGTATTACTCTAATCGGATCAATTTGATCCAAGAAAATATTGATTTTGTATTTTAAATAGATTTAGTAAATTGATCAGTACTTTTTAACTACAGGTAGCTACAGCACTGAAAGCAAATGACGAAAAATGGAAGAAACATACTTTGAAAGAAATTGAGAAAATTGAGTCCAGTGTTAAAACTTCAGAGCTGCAGGAGAAGACAATTGTTCTAGAGCGCAAATTAAAACTTGAGAAAGAAGAGGCAGCAGCAGTTGTTAAAGCTGAATTAGCAAAAGCTCGAGCTCAATGGAATAAAGCAAAACAAGTAGAGATTAATAGAATTCATGAACTAAATGAACAGGATTATCAAGCCTTCCTAGCAGAGCATCGAAATAAACTCGGTGAAGTCCTTAAAGAAGCTAAAGAAGACTTTACCCGGCAGAAAAATGAATTGATTGCACAAAAGGAGGCAGAATTCAATCTGCGGCTCTCAGAAAAGCAAAAAGAATGGTCAACTCATAGAGAGGAGCAGATCAATTATGAAAGACAGCAATATGAATCTGAACTTGTTGCTGAAATTGAACATTTTTTGCGTGATATCTCAAAACACTTTGGAAAGTCTAAACCTGCATGTCTCGGAGCGGAGGAATATTCTAACACTGCCAAATCGACACATGACCAGTTTGTTGAAGTAAAGGACCGTCTCCAGAGAGTTTGCACTGAAATGGTTGAAGAGATCCTTGAAACTCGGAAAGAGGTAATGGCAGTTCATTTTTGTAGGTTCTAGCTGTATTAGTATAGCCTGATGGAATGGCTTTTTGATATAAATGCAGTTATTATGGATCTTCACTTTATTCTCTTTTTTCCTAAGAAAAATATATCGATGTGCCCTGTGTGGATAGCATTGCCCTAAATATGCACATACATTTCACACAGAGTCCATCCTTAGTTTTTCAATTATCATATTTTCCTTTTTTAGTGTATGTACTTGGTGAAAATTCCACTTTTTTTTTTCTTTTTTTTTATTACTTTTTGCAAAGTCGATTGAAATGTTCAAGGAAGTGTCCCCAAAATTTACCTTTTTTTTTATTCTAAGTTAGGTACAAGATAAGTTAGAAGCTTGAGGTATAGGTCATACACGAGTCAAATCCTTTGTGTTACTGTGTCCAAGACCGCATGGAAAATTTTAAAGGAGCTACAGATTTAAATGAATCGCTTGCACATTCCAAAAGAAATGTATGTGTTGGTCATAGATACTGTGAGGTTGTAGACTTGCTTGCCAAACTGTTTTGTTCTCATTCAGATGTTCCGTCACCATGCTAGGTGACATCATCAGTGGAGCCTCTGATGAAGCAGTTATTCTCCTCTGTTTGGAATTTTTCTGTCTGGTCCATTATGGTAAGTAATGTCATTTCCGGTTTGATCTGTATGGGTTTGTATATATGGGGTCCAGTTCTATATGTTTGTTTTACATTACAGGTGGAGAATCTTGCCTCTAGGAATTCCCGTGTGTGTCTATGTTTGGCTTGGGCTACTATGGTTACCTTGTCCCAGTTAAACTGATGGCCTTCGTTGTCTGAATGTACAGATATTAAGGAGAGTTCATCGTGCCATTTTGCTGCTAGCTGATGTTCGTGTATTCTGATGACTAGTTTCCTTCCTGTCTGTCCGATGTAATGTTTGTGGCAGACAGCGCATGGTATTTTGTAAACCATGTTCGTTCTGCATTTTGTGGGAATGCGGTCTTTAATCCTTTGTCGTAGAGTGGCTGTGGGTTTGTGGGCCACCATGATTCCTAGTGGTCTTAGGAGTCTTGATGTCAGTTCCGATATGTTCCTGATGTAGGGCAGTGTGGCCACTGTGTTAGGTCATACTGTGTTCTCCTGTTGTTGTCTGTTTTGTAGACAGCTGTGGATGAAGTTGCGGGGATATCTGTTTAAAGTGGGCATCTTGTACAAGTGTTCTTCTTCTTCCTGGCGTAATTCTGAAGTGTTGCAGTGTGTCCAGGCCCATTTAAATAGTGTCCTAATGCAGCTTTGTTTGTGGATGCTGGGGTGGTTGCTGTGGAAGTTGAGGATTTCATCGGTGTGGGTTGCTTTTCTGTTTACTGAGATCTGGAACTCCCTGTTTGTCAATCGTTCTCCCTTAACACCCAGAAACAGAAGTTGATTGTTGGTTTCTTCTTCCCTTGTGAATTTAATCTCGGTGAATACACTGTTGATGAGGTGGTGGGTCTCTTCTAATTTGTTGCGTTTAATAATGACAAATGTGTCATCTACGTACCGGATCCACAGTTTAGGTTGAATGTGGGGGTGCGTGATGGGTTCTAGTCTTTTCATGACTGCTTCTGCGATGAGTCCTGAGATGGGTGACCCCACTGGTGTACCGTTGATCTGTTTGCATTTCTGTTTGTATATCACAAGGGATATACAAAACCGGAAATGACAGTACTCACCATAACAGACCGGACGGTATAAATTCCAAGTGGAGTAGAATGACATTGCTTCATCGGAGGCTCCACTGACGATGTTACCTAGCATGGTGACTCAACGTCTGAACAAAAACTAGCCAGCTCAGCGAGCAAGTCAACAACCTCATCCACAACCCAAGCTACAGATCTTTGCCAATACTTTAAAGCCACAATGTACCAATACAAAGTGGTCTTGTCCAAGCCACACAGTATCCTGTATTGGAATTATATTGCCATTCATTAATTGTTGCTGGGTGAAACTTCTGGACCTTCTTTCATAAACCTTCTGGGTGACTGCAGCTGTTCAAGAAGGCAGTTTAGTTCCATCTTCTCCGAGGCAATTAGCGATGGCAATAAATGCTGGCTTAGCTAGTGACATTCACATCACATAAACAAAAAGAAACTGATTACTTCTTTGCTTAACAAATTTCAAGAAATATTATGCTGACCTTTATAGCAAGTTCAACACTAATAAACTTGTGTATTTTATGTATTCCAGTTATTTGTTTACTTATCCACCTCCATTCAAGGCTCACTGTGGCACAACTGTAGAGCTAAGATCTGATCGATGGTTGTGGAGTCACTTAGCCTTATCAAGAACATACTGATTCCGCTCATTGGCAGGCAAATAGTCCTATATTACAGTTTCACTAGCTATTGCTGGTGCTGCTCCTGGCATACCCTCCTGCGTCCTTATTGAACCAGGATTGATGTTTTGGCTTGATGGTAAAGATCAAGCTTTTTTTATTCAGTCATGTACTGTGGTGTATTTCAAGAGATCAGAATTTGCTACACATTCCCTAATTACCCTGGAGAAGGAGATGGTCAGCTACCTTCTTGAACTGTTGCAGTTCTTTGAGTTTAGGGATATCCACAATGCTGTTAGGAAGGGGGATCTGCCAGGTCACAAAGTTATACATTATCATTGAATGCAGTTCTGCTGTTGCTGATTGACAACAGGGTGTCAAATATAGCCCATCTCAAGTTTCTAGATCTGTTTGAAATCTGTACCATTTAGCAATTCAGTCATATCACACAACAAACTGAACTGTATCCTTAATATGAAGGCAGGATTTTGCCTCCGTAAGGACTGTGTGATGGCACTACTCCAAATACTGCCATGGACAGATGTATCTGTGCCAGGTAGTCTGGTGATGACAAGGTCAAGTAGATTTTCCCTTTAATTCATTCTCTTATCATCTGCTGCAGACCCAATCTCGCAGTTATGCTCATTAGGCCTTCAACAGTTTAGTCAGTAGAGATACTGCTGAGCCACTGTTGGTAATGGGCATTGAAGATCCCCACTCAGAGTAAATTCTGTATCCTTGCTACTCTCAGTACTTAGTCGAAGTGTTGTTCA